CGTCGCTTTTAACTTTCTAGTGAGTCAATTAAGCAAGCCACGGGTCAATGGCATTTGAACACTAGCAGACCATATACATCTCGCATTATTTTGTCTGCTGGGGAAACCTTACAGTCGTTAATAATATTTCTAGAACTGGCACTCCTTATTTGCTACCGCATGAACACCGCAAGCACTTCGTACGACCGAATATGTCAAACTAGAGGGGTACAGGTTTCTGAGACATCGTTTTTAATGAGCGCGAGATGGCTCTAGCGGAAAAACGATGCGGAATGCACCTGGCGCTTCAGATGAACAAATATTCTGATGCCGCGACTAGATCAAATTTATTTCTATGCAAGACGCTGTGAAATCTGGTCTTGAAGAAATCATTGTTATCTTCAAATCGTTGTAGAGCATGTAGCATATACAATATAGCAAACGAAGATAACAGGCGACCAGTTTTCGATTAGGTTTTTTTCATTAGTACAGTAAACGATTGTTAAAATAAAAATGAGAAATATGAAGATTGACAATAATACACGTTCCGAGCAGCTTACAGTTTCGTAAGGTTGGTACAGAAGATGATAATAAAGCAAAAGAAAAGTCATTGACAACCGTTAAATAGAGGTAACAATAAATTTTTGGTCTGCACTGCATTTTAGAAGTGATGGATTAAAAACTGAATAGCGGTGTAAAAATTCCCACTATTAACTGCTAGTTTTCTTTATCAAAGAACCCACTGCGGTTTTGTACAACTAGCCGAGGAGCCAATGGCAAAACAGGGTTCTGCTAATATTTGCAGCATGGCATTGTACATCTGCCTAATGAATTATTCTCATGATTAAAAATTGCTTTTAATTCATTTCATACTGAGTGAAATTTGGCACAAGTTGTAATCTGCAAATTGAAAGGCTAAATCATGGAAATCAATCGCTACTATGAATGTTACAGCATAACTAAGTTAATTGATTGAGGCTGCGATTATACCTATCAATCAAAGTCGTTGAGCACAGTATATCAGCATTTATTCCGTTAGGCTTCTCGGTGCATGTACCTGAAGTTTCTTAATATCTTTCGGATGTAGATGATGGTTTTCCGAAAACGTCCATGTTATGTGAAGACTCCGCTAATAACTATTTGCGGTCATTGGTCATTGCTCCACTGTTTTGTATCGTCCGGCAGGTGTTGAAAGATATATCGGGTGTCCTGCAGTTCGTCCACCCTTGGTCTTCTTACAGAGATGTTGCACGAACCGGAAGACTCGTTCGACTACCTATTTAAAATCGTGCTCATCGGGGACATGAACGTCGGCAAGACCTGTGTCGTTCAGCGCTTCAAGAACGGCACCTTTCTTGAGCGGCAAGGCAACACGATCGGTGTGGATTTCACTATGAAGACGTTGATCATTGATAGCAAGCGAGTTAAGGTATATTCGTCGGCACAAGTTTCAACGTTTTCTTTTCATCGTACTTTGTTCGTGGTAACAGTGTGCGTTCATTTCCAGTTAGTGTCGACTTGGCAGTCGTAGAATCCCCGGTTGAATAGTAGGTGGTACGGAGATTATCCTTCGGACCGCCTTTGCATGAATGTTCAAATCGCTGGTGGTATCGGGCAGCAGGTTTATCTACTAAACACTGTCGGACAGACCATATGAGAAGTGCACAATGAGTTTAAAGCCAGAGATTAAACCAGCTGCAAACCGTTCTGCCTCTTGTTATCCCTTCATTCAGTTCTGAAATGAGGTTGTTTTCGATACTTGTTGCTGTTATCGTTGTTATCGAAAGGTAGTAGTGCTTTAACAGCAGAATTTACCAGGTAGGAGATATTCGAGCCTTTCGATGGTGGATGTACCGACGCTGTAAATTGTTTCGGTGTGAGTGATAAAATTAAATACGGTCGATATCCTTCGTATCCTTTTAATAATTTGAATGTTTTTCAATAGATCGACTATGGCTTTATTCGTAGTGTTGTCTGTAGAGTTATTTGTTTGTTACATAATTCGAAAGGAAAGTTTGTCAACGTTGGAATGTCATTCTTCTTTCACTTTTATGATTGGGTCGTTTTGACGCCCTTCTTTTCAGGATGTTGACGGTTCGGTGCTGATCTCCGTTTCTATACTATCAGCTAGGAGTGCCTTATTTTTAAAAGCAGAATCTACAGCAGCTATGTGGCAGGCATATTGTGAAGTCTCATGTTTCCTTACCACAGAGTGGTACTCATTTATCAACTTTGAAGGAAGAAAGGCGAGTGATTTGACAAGGGTAACAACGTGGGATCTCTACGTTGTGAGTCCAACACTCTGCCGACGAAACAACCCCGGTCTGAAGCATTGTGTGTTAAATTTCTTGCTCAAGGAAATAATACAAAGATTGCCCTTCAGCTAAATCTAACCCGGCACCTCCGGCTTTCGCAGCTGACCACTTAGACGACTAGCAAATGCCGTCCATAGTGGGTGTGGAAGGAGGTATCAGTTTGTTGCCTAGTTCGATAACAGTTAAATAATCTTCGTTTTTCGATCCGTCGTTCATACCAACCATTTTTTAACAGTAGATCAAAAACGAGGATCATTAATTTTGTTTTAGTTTCGGTTATTTATTTTTTATTTAGTGAAAGCGTTGTTCTTTTCTGTTCTGTGTGGTTCTTCTGTGATAATGTTCAGGTAGTAAGCTCTACCCAGGAAATTCTTCATTTTTTAACTTCATCGACGCATTAACTAATAGGTTGATGGCGACACTAAACATCACAGCACTCCATGAGTGCAAAACAGCTGCTTTGGCAGTGGTTGGAAGAAAGTTTACCGAGGACCGCCGCGAGGTCTTTTCGATGGGGGGGGGGCAGTAGCTTGAGTAAGTGCTCGTGTACACCAGCTGCAGACAGTTTCAAAGAAATTGTGCCCTCGTG